TGGATTTTTTTAAATCTTTAGATGGGTGTTGGTGTTGATGCTATGTGTTTTAATGATAACAAATTCGTTAAAAGTACTAATGATCCGAGATATGAGTGTGTAGTTGTATCGATTATTCCCTTAGATAAATTAAAGCCTATCCAAAGAATGCAAGCTTACTCTAATGAACAAGACGAATAAAATATCAAGTTCTAGAAATATTCAAGTTATTACATTTGTTAGGACTTGATGTAATCAATTTGCAAGAAGCACTACTTTAGGCTTAACTTAAACTTACCTCAATTCTACCACAACATGAAGACTAATGGCTAAGTCAAGAAAAGGTTTTAGGCTTTTCTTGGACTCTATCTTGAACAATTGGAAGCCTAAGGAGTCAACTCTCAAACAGTAGGAGTTGACCAATTGAGTGATCTAAGGTTGCATTATACGTAGTAGTTGACTAGTTGTGACAGTTGAGTCTAATTTACTTAGTAGGCAACTACCTAAAACCAAGGATTAAAATGTCAGTATGATTCATCCAATATGGGGTGTATCTTATTGGTATCGGATCACACCGACACGAGATACGCTATGATTGGAGGTGTATTCTGTCAGTCATGCATATTGGTCTGCTATACCACCATCTTGAGGCATATCATATAGTATCAGCTTGTACAGTCTGATACACACTGATACAAAAGCATATCGAACCATGAATTGACAACAAATGTAATTCATTGACTTATTATAAAGAAGGGGTCCAACATGATTTAAACCCAAAAACCTAGGTCGCCCAATGCCCAAGAGTGCATGCATCTTAGCCACCTTTTATTTCATAACAATAAATAAATAGATTAAATTTTATTAACATTAATGTCAACATGTAATCCAAACAAACAAACAACATGCACATATGTTCAACAACTCCAACTACAAATTAAAAATAATAATATTCAAAATTAGTATTTTATAAACTAATGGAATAAATAATTTATCAAATCCACATATATATCAAAAATTAATTTTTAATTTCAAGAAATTTATACAAATAAAAAATTTATAATAGAATAATTGTTCCAATACTTAAAATTTATAAAATTACACATGATATATTTCTTAAATTTTTTATAAATCATAAAGTAATATTTCAATTTGCATTAAATAACAATGTATCTATTATTTACAAAATTTTATAAAATATTTAAGAATATAATATAATTGAATCTTTTAAACCACTAATCTACATTTATATAAAAAATAATTTCTTATTCTAGAAAAATTATAAAAATAAAAAGTTTAGTAATGGAATAATTACTTTATTAATTAAAATTTATGAATTTTCATATGATATGCATCTTCAAAATTTTAATAGATTTGATATATTTTAATTTAAGATTATATGTTTTTATAAATTATTAATTGATATTTTAATTTACATTTTATAATAGTATATTTATTGTTTAAAAAATGAAAATATTGTTTATCAAACATTTAATAGTTAATTTTATTTAGTTTATTAATAGAAAAATGGTATAATATTTCAAATATAATAGTTGCATATGTTTTGTGCCTTGGACTTTAATAGAAAGTAAAAATAATAATGTCTTTGTGCATGTATTAATTTGTATAAATCTATATAATATGTGTCTTGGACTTTTAATTGATACATTATCAATAAAATTGTATAATATCTATGCATCTCGCTATATTAATTGTAACATATTTCTTCATATATATCATTAAAATATTCAATTCCTATGTATTTATACATTATTTATAGTTATTTTGACATTAATCTTAATGTTATTAATATATTTATGGAATATTTATGCATTTCCCTAGCATATCCAAGTGTTTCCATATTTTTTGTCCGTATCCATGTGTTTTCCAAGCATATCCATAGCCAAGTTGTCCAGTACCAATAGTTTAATCCTTGTCTATAAGGTAGTTGTCAACTAGTTGTGACAGTCGAGATTGGGTTTATCAAGTAGTCGACTATCAAAGGGTAGTAGTCGATTACCAAAGAAAAAAAAAATTCCCTATTGCACATAGTACTTAACTACTTAGTCATAATATAGTCGACTACCTACTCTTTAGTAGAATGAAGCAATCCACTATACTTAATTGTGATAGTTGACTACTTTATGATGCAAAGTTAGATTTTTTTTACTATTTGAAGGCTCAATGGCTTTTTCCTCGTTGATAAGCCTTTAGCCTCATTGGAAACTAGCTTTGAATGTTTCATAGAATAATTTCCTCCTCTCCCAATGGCTCCATAACTGTCACAAGGTCTCTAGCTTTGATTCATGCTATTTATGCATGAGTTTGAGCTAAAGGTTTCAAGGGAAGTGAATTGATCAAAAGACTTAAAGTGAAAAAGAGAGGAAAAAGTTTGGAAAGATTCTATGATAAAAGAGTTTTACCTTTGTGAAAAAAGGTAAAAAGCCATTTGTGCATGATTGATTCTCACGAAGAAACTTGAATCTATTCAAGTGTTATAACCCATATACTTTTGTACATTCCCTTGCATCTAAGTAGTTTATATTATATTTGCATATTAGCCTCATAAAGACATTATTTTAATTGTTATTTGCTTTGCTACTTCATATACTGTATTTGTTGTGATTGATCAACTAGTAGGTTTCTAGCTGGATTGGTTAGGTGTTTTTGGAAAGAACACAAGAATACTACAAGAAAAACGCTCTAGGCCAGTGGTTGAAAATTTTGTTGGCTTAGATGAACCTATGTCGGCGGTTTTAACATGGCCGCCGACTTTGAATTAAACAATGCAAAAAGAAAAACTGGGATGGTGGTTTTAAATTGAACTGATTGTAAATCAATAGTAAACTGGTCTAAAATAGAGCAACCAACGAGTATCTTGGATTTCGACTTTAAATAGAAAATATCAATTCTCGCGTTCTATTTCATATCTCCTTTTTCCTTCTTCTATTCCTCTCGTCTTCTACTCTCTCCCTCTTGTCTTGGACTTGGATACAAATATGAAGGAGATAAGAAATGTCCAGAAGAAGAAAGAACTTTGAGTGCCTGAGGTGAAAGAGCTATTCCAATCTCCCTCTTATCTTCTTATTTCCATTAATTTGTTTCCTACCGCCATCTCTTGGTGAAAATTTTGAATGTTATCTCCCAATCAGCTGATTCAGTTTGGTCCAACCAAAACATAGATTAGTGTCATTAGGTAAATCATTTATATGGTCTTGATCGATTTGATTAACCTTATTATTTTCTTGTATGCCTGGTTATATAGCTTGATTATTTTCTTTTGTCTTTAGTCCAAATTACTTATCCATTTTTTTTGTTTATCTATTTATTTTGTAGAATTTGTAGATCCTTTATTAGTGCTCCCTAGTTAGATTAGTTTTATTAGCTTTTTGTCGAATAAAGTCTCAACAAACACCACAAAGAAATTCAAGTTGAATGCAAGGTGTTTGAAGAAATTCCATAATGAGAATTTATGTTATGGACACCCTTGTCAAAGAATTTATTTTCATAATATTCGAAACAACACTAAAATCTGGGCCTGTTGGGCAAATTTTCAACATATGATCACTATAGATAGCTGAAATATAAAAGTAGAGTTGTGGATTTAGTTGCAAGTTTAGTGCATATAGCAGGATCTACTCTTTCTATGTTCTCTAGCCAAAACTACCCGATCGTACTGAAGCTCTTTGAGAAACAAACAACCAACCCACTCTTTAGAAGCAAATATCCATCGTTTAAATCAGAAAACAACACATCAAGTAGATTCTAATAAACACCTTTAAAGAAAAGCAATTACAACTTCTATTCCATCATCAATCATTGGATAACAGAAGTTTCAAATTAATAGCTCAAGTATCAACTCAATGACTATTCTAGCAGGGAATGTCTTGCTAAAGAAGGGTCAGATATGAAAAGACAAAAACTAAGAACTAAGATCACAGTTCTTGTACCTAAAAATAAAGGAACTTCAAATAAGTGAGCATCAAACTACATAATGTGCATCTTTGCTTTTTTTTTTTTTGAAGAGTAAAAATAGAAATTTTATTAAATAGAGAAAACTAGTTACATACAATAGGTGACAAGATGGCACCTAGCTTACAAAACAGAGCATACTGAACTAAAGCACAGTCCAAACTAACTGATACAATTTACATCAAATGAGTTTCATTGGTAGCACTATGTTCCATTTCCTGATCAACCTTTGCCCTTTGTGACCCACAATCCCCATTACCAAAGTTTTCTCAAAGGATCCAGGTGCAACAAGTTAGTGTGGGTTCATCTTGATTCCAAACCCTGGGAAGAGTCATCAGGTATTTCAACAATCAGAATTAAATATCAAGAAATCAAAGAAAGGCTTCATAGTTGAGAATGGAAATTGACAAAGCTCATGGATTTGGCATATACAACCAAACCATAACATCATAAGCCTTTCAAGACAACTTGCAAGTGAATTTGCAACTTGATCAGTTTTGGAAATGTATGTGTGGCTTAGATATTCAGATACACATCTGAGGTCAAATATCAAGAGGGGAAACATTTCCACAGAAGAAGAGGAGTTTATCATCAGACTTCATAGATTTCTAGGTAACAGGTGCATGATTTTCTCCCCACCCCCGCCATTCACCCAACCCCATTAGCCAATGCTAGCTGGACTGAAGTGAAAGCCCCAAACAGAGAAGCTGAAGGAAACTTACAGATTCTAAGTAAAAGCTAGCTAATTAATTTAAATTACGTAGTTGTCAATAAATTCAAGCAAGTCGGTCAAATTTCCCCTCAACACGGAGACCAATCTCTTGAAAATTGAAACCCCAGTTATTAATTGTTCTAATTTGGTGGTTTGAATTGATGATGAAAACTGAGAAAGAAATTGTCATGCTGCATGCATGCATATGGCCGCTTATAGCAAGAAGACTACCAGGTTATGTTACTTGGTTGTATTTTAAAGGAAAAAGTGTTTATGGTGGGATCCATACTCACTCCATGTTTTGAATTGATTCCTACTGTTGGATTTTGCAGTGGTCATGGTAGTGGTGGACTAATAAGTGGCGGTGATGTATCTGGTCCAAACGTTTGCGTCACTAAAATTTGGCATCACTGAGCCAATCCATGTCCTCCCTTGATGCAGGTAATAGTCCGCCATAAAGTAATAGAGACACCCAACACAATGAATTAGAAACAATGTAACCTGCACTAAAACTTTCTATCATGGTTCTGCACATTCATTTAAAGCAAATTGCAAATCAAGTTTTACTTATAGATAGAAGTGTAGTACATCTTATCAAGAAATAGCTGAATCTGATATCCTTCTCAAGCCTGAAATCCATTAAAATGAAAGAGGAGAAAAGGTTTTGAGTTAGAGAAGCTTTAGGGGGCGTAAACTCTGTAATCCTATAATCCTCTCTTGCTTGCAGAGGGTGAAATTAAATTACCAGTTACCTTGTGAAGAATTGTTTGACCCTTCTTAACCTCCAAAACCGGAGCAAGCCCAAAATGCAATAACTAAAACCTACTTTGGTTTTTCCTGTAAACAAGAATGCCAGAACCTCAAAGGGGATTCTGGAAGCCACATCCATGACAAACCATGTTGAGAGGTACTTGACAAACAATGTAAGATTGAGATTAATGTCATTTGCTTTCTATGAATTGTTGAATGTTGTTAGTCTATCATGCTCTCCAGTCTCATTCTCGTTGGGCTTGGTGATGACAATCAATGCATTGAGGATGATTTTGCAACTTGATATGCCTTATCATTTTTTCTTATTCAGTCCATCATGTTTCAACTCATTTTTATTTTCTTTGGTTTCTTCCAAAACTTTGATTAGAATGTCCTAGCATTTAGATTCATTTGTGTTACACTTCTCAGATATGAAACTGGAGACCCTATTGGTGTTTATGCTGAGAATGGTAATGAAACCATTGAAAAAGCAAGCAACTTATTGGCTCAACCCTTGGATTTGCTGTTTTCACTTCATACCAACAAAGAGGATGGGACTCCACTGCCAAGCTCATTACCACCCCCTTTCCCTAGGCCTTGTACCCTGCGCAATGCAATAGAACGCTATGCAGATCTCTTGAATCCTCTTAGAAAGATTGTTTAAGTCTTGATCATCTTGTATCTTTTGCCTTCATTGTACTTGAAGTTTGAGATATTTGGGTTTTGTCTTTTGGTACTTTCAGGCTAGTCTTGTTGCTTTGGCTGCTCATGCATCTGAACCTAGTGAAGCAGAAAGACTAAAATTTTTTGCATCACCTGAGGGAAAGGACCATAGTGTACCTTTTTCCCTTGGTTGTACTATATTTGGGTTATTTTTCCTGTTATGATTGCATGGCTATTATTTAGTACCTTTTCTTTATATTTTTAATTTGTTTCTATTATCTTTTCTATTTCCAAGATGAATATTCACAATGGGTTGTTGAGAGTCAGAGAAGTCTACTAGAAGTAATGGCTGAATTCCCTTCAGCTAAACCTCCCCTTGGGAGTTTTTTTTTTTTTTTTTGTTGCAATAGCTCCCCGTTTACAGCCACGGTACTATTCAGTTTCATCCTCTCCAAGGTGATTTGAAGGGTCCTTGGCCTGGATGAATAATGCTCAATTAAAGAGTTTTGTCTGAATTTCTGTTTCACGATTAGGAAGCATTTGTCACCTGAAAAACTATCAATGCAAATTAGATTACCAGAACTTGATTAAAAGTGCAAATCAGGTTATCAGAATTGATTGTATTGAATTCAGGTTTTAGTTTCATACTCAATAAAATGCTTTTTCTATTGAAAGAAATTCAATATGCCACCAATCAACTGATTAAATAATTTTTATGCTTTAGGTTGAAGCAGGTGCAACTGCTATTATTATTTAAAAATTTAAAAATACTAAGCCAACGGTCATAGAAACCACCACCTTTAACAACTCAATATACCTAAGCCAGTAGTTATAACCGTTGGATTTGATTATATAGTTTAGGTAAGGTGACAGTTTATCAAAATGACAAATAGATGTAAGCCGGCGGTTTTGACTGCTAGCTCAATAACTAGACCGACAGTTAGGCTATTGTCTAACATATCCTGTCCCAGCGGTTTGGGCTTCAGCCGTACATTATCTGGGTCGGCGGTTCTCTAAAACCCGGCGACTATTGAATGATTGGACCGGGTCCCTAAGGCGGCACTCTTTTTCTTCTAAGCCGGCGCTTATGACCTAAGGCGAAACAAACATAGATGGCAACCACTGAACATCTGGCTCATGTCTATGCCGGCGGGTGAAAAGGCTAAGGCGGCGACTTGGTGAGTGCCGGCCTAGCTCATTTTTCTTGTAGTGGAAGTTTGAATAGCACCCGAAATTCCAACTAGTATAAAAGTTTTGATGGTATTTGAAACCCTAGTTGGTATAGTGAAATTCTTAGATGGTGTGCCTAGGAGATAATGTAGGTTAGGGATAGCCAAACCTCTGTAAATCTATGTGTCGATTCTTGTTGTTTGCTCTTATCCATTCTATCTCTTATTTTTACTTAACTCTTGCACATCTTGTACATCTTGGACATTGTTTTTATTGCTTACAGTCTTTGTTCTCTTGCATCTAATATACTAGAAAGAAAAGGGTTAGATAAAATTTTTTGAACCCAATTCACCCCTCCCCTCTTGGATGAGGCTACATGGGCAACAATTGGTTGCTCACTCATCATTTGTAGAATAGGGATGGCAATTTTCTCCATCCCCAACGGGGACCCGATGGAGTCAGGGATGGGGATTGTTTTGGCAGGACAGAGATTAATAGGAATCCCCGTTCAGGGTCAGGGTCGGGGATGGGGATTGAGGTCCGCCCCACCCCAACCCCAACCCCGATTATGTATATATACTATATTATATATCAAAACATATTTAAAAAATATTTATAATTTATAATTTTTATTTATTTTAAGTAAATTTATTTTTTAAATAAATACTGTTATCTAAAAAAATTTCAGGGATTCGGATCCCCGCGGGGAACCCATCCCCGTCGGGATCGGGGATGGAGAATAAATTTTATCCCCAACAGGGATCAGAGATGGGGACGGGGTTAATTTCATAATCGGGGTCAGAGACGGGGAATATGATCCCCACCCCGAACCCGCCCCGTTGCCATTCCTATTGTAGAACCCTTGCTTAAATAGCTTGGATATGTGTGATCTCAACAATGGGTTTTTGGATGCATCAAGTGGCACATGTTTGAGAAAAGTAATACACATGAAGCGGAGTGGCCCTTATTGGAGTACTCTATACTACTCTCATTTGGTTATGGTGTCTAATCCAATGACACGATTTTCATACTACTTATGCTAAGGAAAGGCAATTTCCTAAATGCCTTGATATGGAAATGGGTTAGTACTTCACCAAAGAGTGTTTCTCTTTGTCAGGTATTTATAGAGTTGTTGAAACTAAGTTTGGTTTGCTCTTCACGAAGCAAATATTTGAACTTGATGATCACTACAACTAAATAAATGCGGTTTTCAAAAAAACTAGGGTGGCTACTCGACTTAAAGTTTTTGCCAACCCATACTTTGTTTTTTCTAAATTAACGTTTTCCTTCAAATGTTTAACAATAAACAAATATTAACCAAGTAGGAGATAATAATTTTCTAATCAAATAATTGATTGTTTGAATTGTTTTGGAAAAACCATATTGAAGACATTTTTGTGTTGATCGACCATAGATTGAATGAAGGTTTTTAAAATCGGAGCGGACATGGAACCATTCGGCTCCGGTTCCCATGTCAAATGGTCTGACCATCCAGTCCAAACAGAAGACCCACTCTAACAAATAAAATAAAAAAATATTATCCAGGTCGATGGTTCAACCGCCCAGATCAGTAATTTGCTGATCAAATCAATGATTTTTGACTAAAAGATGATTTTAAGGTGAAATGGAACTAGTTAAGTGATCAATTCCCAAATTTATTGGTCCAACCATCCAATCCAATCCGGTTTCTAAAACACTGGATTGAATAGTGGAGATCATCTCGGAGCTTCTATTGTTTTGGACCGTCTAATTAATAAGCATGGCCTGTGGATAGATAGTGTGCGCTTTTTATCAGTTTAACCATGTAGCAATGAGTTAAGGTTATTGTGATGGATGAACAATTTGAACCATTGGTTCTCTTAAGTTGCCTAGGTGCAGGGTTTCTCACCATCTTTACACAGGGAGCCAAGAAAGGATCCAAGTGTAATTTTTATTCATAGGAGCAAAAGCAAAGATACCATCAATTTTACCAATAGTATACATGTAACATTTAAGTTTTGAATCTATCAATTACAATTATTATGGATTAATAAGAGAAGATCATGTTCAGGGAATTATTGTTTGTGCTCTTTTGTTGTTGGACATGATTGGAAAATATCATGGTTTTTAAAACTGACCTGGTGACTGAACCAGTCAGGGGTCCGGTTACCGGGTCGAACGGTCCATTCTGACAAAAAATTAAAAAATTTGAAAAAAATGGTCAAAACTGTTCAAATGGTTAACCGGCTGGTTCAGCGGTTTGCTGACCAAAATCAACGGTTTGAGGGAAAATGGAACCGGTCAGGTGACCGGTTTCCGGTTTTTCCGGTCCGGTCCAGTTTTGAAAACCATGGAAAATATATAACAAATATTACTTTCAACACGGAGGTTTGGTCCAACAGCATCAGCCCTTCATAATGTTGGGATATGTTCATAATTAGGGATGATCATGGGTCGGGCTGGGTTTTGACAGTCTATCAATGGTTTTTGACTGCCCGGGCCCGGCAGAGGCTTAAAAAACTAAAATTTTAAGTTAATATAACAATCAAAATTACAGAAAAATATACAGAAGTTTTGTTATCCATTTATTAATATATTATACCAAATAATGTATAGAAGTAATGCTTTTGAATCACCGTTGACTTTGACGGTTGGACCATTTGGCCCAAGAATCATCCAGGCAACTGATTCCATTTTACACCAAACCTGGTCTCTGACCAAAAAACTGTTGAATTGGTCAACGATATGTTGACCCGGGTGGTCGAACCACCAATCCATTCAATCTGTTCAACAGTTTTTGGCTGTTTTTTATTTTAATTCTGTTTTTATTTTTTTTTTTGTCAAAATGGACAATCCATTAGAATCAAACCGTCAACCCAGAAACCAGTGGCCAGAATGATTCTGATTCCAGTCAGTTTTTAAAACATTGTATACAAGTCATATGGTGCCTAAGGTTTTCACAGCCTGAGCCCAACCCGCATTATGTGCACTTGTGCAGGCTTAGAGCGGGACCAGGCCTGGAAGAAAAACAACTAATCGGAACCAGAAATTTGCAGGTCAGGCTAGGTCATAAATGATCACTATTCACAATGAAATTGCACCTTCCAGCTCACCCTTTTCGTGTTTTTTCTTCTTTTGCTCCATGGGGTACACAATAGGGTGTAACCCATCCCCAAACCCATAACCCTGCACCTTCCAGCTCACCATTTTCGTGTGTGTGTGTTTTACAATGTAACCCATCCCCAAACCCATAAACCCCTAGGACCCAACCTTGGTGCAGGCGAGATTAAACCACGGTCTCCACTATAATCACTAGAAGACCTTACATACCAGTTTGGATATACTCACAGAGCACCTCACACCCAAGGTTCTAAATATCAATATGCCTGATATGCCAGTAGGGACGTATCGGTACTGTTTTTTTTTTTTTCTTTTTACTTTTTGTTTTAAATCCAGTTAAGGGGGCCAATTTATGGTTCTTCACCCCTGAACCGGTCAGAACCACAATACACCCATACACCCTCTGTAGGAGCGTATTGGGGTGCTCCCAATACAATACGTATCAACCAATACGTAACATTTTTGAACCTTACACCAACCTCACGCTCTGTGAGAACAAATCTGCCCTGAACGCTGTAAAGCCATATTTGGTAAAATATCAGAAAACTGAAAATAGGCTTAATCAACACAACAACTCAATCAACATTCTGATAAAAACTGTCACGTAGGCTAGGTAGCTTCTCCAAAACGGCTCAGTCAACACAGCTCAATCAATGCAGAAACTCTCCTGAATAGGCAGATTAATATCCATCTTAATATACCTATATTTATCAATAGGCAGCAAACTTGACTGCTTTCCCAAGATATATTAAAAAAAAAAAAAAGTAACACAACAACAGCAACAAACGTGACGAAGATTAAGTACGGTAGTTGGAAATTTGATATTTCCATTGAAGATCACATACAACATCTACCATTTTTCTTTCACAAACAGAAATATGTCAAGGTCGTTGATTAACCCTAAAGAATACATAAAATACAACAAAAGGCCAGCCACTAGTGGAGAAGAAATCCCAGGTAGCAATGCCTTACAGGGAAGACGCCTCACGTTGCAACGTCCAGAATAGCAAGGCAAGGTCCAGAAGTAAAAAGCTTTTGTTACATTTGAAGAACCAGTGCCTGGCGTAGAGAAATACAATTCTTAATAAAGTATCAGCAAGCCCACCATAGTAGATCAGTTTGTCAACTGATAACATAGAATGGACACATGCAAATGAAAAAACAAATGTATCATAAACCAACATGCCAACAAGCTTAGATGGAAATACATCCTTGAAAACATGTAAAATGAGCACAAAAACATAAGAAACTATGGTAAATTGTTCCAATTCACATGAACAGTGCTTTTATTGATTGGATTGGTATTAGATACAACTCATGCCATTAAGAGGTTGCAGTGTGCGTAAAAGATTCCAATTTCACAACAGCAAAGGCATCCAATGGTTACTTTGATAGTTCATACATCAGCCAGTGAATACTCAATCCTACAACAGTTGTTTAGGCTCAGTTGGGGAATGGTACAAATACAAAAATGTAGAGTGCAAAACCTTGTGTATGGTATTTCTTAACTTATATTTGCATTGCACATATTTGTAATTGAACTAGGCTCAGTTTGGAAAGAGTACAAATACAAATATGCACAGTGCAAATACATAGAAAATAATACAAAATATAAGGTTTTCCACTCTACATATTTGCATTTGTACTCCTTCCAAACTAAGCCTCAAGATCAATTCAACTTTCCATGACATCTTCAGACAACTGCAAGCACAAAAATTGCTCAGATTTGATGAAATTTAGGGTAAAGCACCGGAACTGGATCTTTCCTACAAAAAATGATAGAGAAGAAGGGTTATGACAACTTCAGAACTCTGCCGGAATAAACTCACTTCCTTGAAGTAGTTCTAGAAGAGAGCTAAATCTAACGTTCCAGCTCTATTTCTACCTTAGTCCGTTTGGTTGCCGAGAAGGGATGAGATGGGAAGGGAAAATTTATTTTCCCATTTCTGTCACTCTGTTTGGTTGCTGAGACATGGGAAGGCATGGGAAGAAGACGGGTTAGCAGACAAAGAAAACATGAGAAGAAGACAATAGATCTGCCCTTCACAGAGGACGAAGATGACAACTTTGAACTCTTGGCCGTTGGGTGACTGAAACACATGGAAAGAAAGAAAGAGGTCTTGATAAGAAATACAAAAAAAAAAAAAAAGAAAATGAACAAGGCATTTGTTCCCACTGGAAAGAATGTTGATCTGTAAAAAAACAAGTTAAACCACCAGAAAGAATGGCTTCTGGCCACCAACACGAGACCAACAACTTCAAAAATGGTATGAAAATAGTCGCCAGTCGTCAGTGGTCATGGTTTTGGTAGTACCTTAGCCGGAGATCGACAGGAACAACGCCAACAACATGACGGTTGTGGACGCAGGTAGGTGGTGATGGTCAGCTGCGCAAGGTTGAGAGGAAGAGCCCAATACTTTTTTCCCAAACTTTTCTTTTCTCACTGGGGTCGTTCCCGTCGATCTCCGGCTAAGGTTTCCCATTGGGAACCATTCAGCACGACCCCACTTCATTGTTTTTGGGAACCTGCATCCTATGGTTTCCCATCCCATCCACTCAAACAAACGCTGAAAAAGGGAATATAATGGGAATATTCCCATTTTCCCATTCCCATCACAAGAACCAAATGGACCATAAGTGGGAAGGAGCCACATTATACCTCTATTCATAAAAAACAGCCCAAAGAATTCACTTCAAACCCAGGAACATGGGAATACAAGCAGCAGTGAATTTTTGGCAACAACCAACAAGATAACAAGGAACACCGGAAACAATGAATTTAAAGCCCCACTTCATTTATCAGTCATTGCTTTCCATTAAAAACATTAGTTATGAAACTTTCTGGAATATACTCTTGCAGCACTGTGTTCAAGTAACCATAGAACCAGTTTGGTTCTTTCCTCGGGCCTAAATCTCACAGAAACCAACTATAAGTTTTCTTGGATAGTATCTCCTACTTTATTCGAAAAGTTTGTTAGTTTCAGTTGATGCCATGCCTGTTCCTATAGTAGTCAAAAGCTGACCAACACCAATGACTAATGACATTGCCATGACTCTTTATTATATAGACAGTGGATATAGTAATAACATCTTCCACATCATTAGCCATCATTAGGTGCTCTAAATGCAGTACGTGCAGCACTCCCTATCTGAATTGTAAAATTCCTAGACCATCCTAGTTGTCTCGATGGGGCTTGTGAAAACCATGAGCAATCTTGGTATTAGGAACCAAAAGGTAAAGTTGCTTCATTAGAAAATATATGCTATGGAAAATTGTAGACCAAATAGTAATGCTATTATGCCAATCCACTCCACTCTGCACAATTTCATTGCTTATGGATAAGTTTAATTAAATTAAGAGCCTCAGTAACAAATGTGTAGCATCAACAACTTCACCTTTAATGAAATTATCTGAAATAAGATTATAAAATGCCTACACAATAAATTAGAAACAACAAATTGTTGGTTTCTCTAGCAATTAAGAGCCATTAACACCAACGATCGTTATAAACAACAAAGGATGCTGACTTGTGTGCTTATATGGAATTCACATGTAGATTGTGGTGTTTCATTGGTAAAAAGGGCAGCCCAGTGCACAAGGCTCCCACCAATGCGGGGTCTGGGGAGGGACAGATGTACACAGCCTTGACCCTGCACATACAGAGAGGCTGTTTCCAAGATTTGAACCCTGGTCACCCAGGTGTTTCATTGACCAGGATATGAATTAGAGTAGCTAATGATAAGGGGGGAAAAAAAGAAGTGAAATACTTATGGAGAAGACATTAATTAAAAAGCTTACCCCAAACACCATTAAATGTTGCAAAACTCCCAGTCTTCTTTTGTCATATCAAGAATTTCAACACAACCATCTTCAAACATAATCTGCCATAATTTATCAAAAAAAAAAACATAATCTGCCATAAGATGCAAGTTGACAACTTAAGCTTGTAATCACCCATTTACATTTAAAATGGTCAAACAGAAAATCCTCTCTTACCGTGTGTTTTTTGGAATTATTATCAAACCGTTTTATTATTCCAAAAGACCTGGAGTTTTGGACATACACAGCATATATTTCAGAAAGAATTCACAATATAGCAGTCAGTCGAAGAAAGATTAAGAGTACTAAGAATTTAATGCAATTGTAAGCAATATTAAAAAAAATAAGCAGGAATGAAGCTGTATTTTGAAGAATTTTCCTACTCTAGTTTTTCCTAGATCTAGAATTTGTTAAAGCTATCTCTAAAAAAAAGGAATTTGTTAAAAACTGAAAAGAAAAGTATAAACATATGCAGAAAAGGTGGAACCATGAAAGAAACAAATTCCAAAGAAAAAAATCTCATCTCCTGGCCAGCTCTACAATAAATCTACAATCAACACCTTTTGTATTGGAGTAACTACACTTGATTTCAAGTTAACCTTCAAGCCTTCATCATCTCCACTTGGCTGGTACCCCCTTTCATACTGAAGCCTCCCAGTGAGTGCTTCAGTCTTCAGTTTTTTTCTCCAATTGGTAACGGAGAATTTTGTTAAAAGAAATAGTTAACACTTAAGAGTACATATCAAAGTTAGGATTACGGAAGGTAATCCCAACAATCCTTCCAGTTATAACTTTAAGTCAATTACAGTTCACCACAGAACAATTGATGCCAATGAACCCCTTGCTTAGCCAAAAAAATATGTCATCCCATTTGCAGTCCTTTTAACCCATCTGATTAGTACCTTCAGAATTATCATGTTCATAAATTAAATTTAAATAGCCCAAAAAGTAAGCCCCATCCCCCAAAATCCAAAGAAACAGGCCATAAGTGGAGAAGTGTTGATAGATCAAGCTTCAAGCTTCAAGCTTCAAAGTGTTGATATAATAGAACCCATATCGGGTGTATTGTATTGTATCCTTAGGTATCTAATAAGGTTATTATAAGGTATTTTAGGACTTTGGATTTAAAACATTTAAATGTACAATTTGACAGGTCTCCTATCAAATTATCAGAAGAAAATATAAAAAAAAAATCATAGTTTTGTTTAGCTGATACTTTAAACCATGGTCACCTAGCTAGCAAACCTTACAAGCAGGGTTCCATGTTGAACCCCCCAAACCTCACCACCAACTCTAGCTTCCCTATATCCATAGGGGGTGATTGCAAAGCCTGCTTGAACAAGTCTGCAAGAATAAGGAGTGTTCGCAATATGTTGCAGTCAAACAGAACATGTTTTAACTTTTACCAGACTGGTGAAGGATGTAAGAGAGCTACAGCTGCTGCACTCAGCAAAACCTTTCAAGCCCAAGGAAAAGATGGGTACATTTGAAAAAGAAAAAGAAAAAAAATGGATAGATTGAAAAAAGAAGGCCCAATGTTGAGACTTGTATGCATAGTTGCATTGCATACTAGAAAAAGAATGGGTTAAACCAATTTACTTTATGCAATATAGACAAGTGGAACACAATAATCATATTTTGTACCTACCAAAAATAATAATCATATTTTGGAATTTTACTTAATAATTATGTTGCAAGTTCATTCTTGCACTTCCACATCTAAAGTATTGAATATCTTGCTTGTTTTCTTGAAAAATATGTTATCTATTGTTTATTGTCAGCTCAACTAGAACAGAAAAATCAATTGTCTTTTATTTATTTATTTATTTATTTTGATAAGTAACAACCATCCATTTTTCAATGTACAATGGTTAACTTAATATGAAGAACTTATATAATCTCCCACCCCTCTACTCTCTCACTAAATTTTATAAAAATCTCATTGATTGTGTTACCACTCAAAAACAATCAAAATACAAAAATAGAATGCTGAGGGCATAATGGATATAATTCTTGAGATACCTCTTATCCATGGGACGTATTAGTCGAACAACTTCACCAATACAATTATGGGAACATGATCTTTGGCTAGGGGCATGTCGCGAGCTTCCTACATCATAAAGATGGTATAAATAAATGGAACATGAACAGAAACTGTAGTCTCAAAACAAGGTTCTCTTGTAGATTTTCAAAACTTCGAATTTTTCAATTGTCAACGTTCTAAGTAAAATAAATCATCATTCTAATAGATGAAGTAAACATTCTTACCTACACGTACGCCTCCATTTGCATAGCCCTTTACAAACAATATCAAAAAAGTTAGCTCAACTATTTTCCCAAACTTGTCACATTAAACATGAAAACTTCATGAGAAGCAAATTTTAAAACATCAATGAAATTTGTTAAGGAACCATCTATCATTTAGAGGAAGAAAAAATTTTAGGGTTTTGAGACTCATGTATAACCATTAATCTGAAGATAACAATATAGGAAAACAAGAATTCAATATGTTGTCAAAAGCATCTTCACAAAATCCATACATATTTATGTACGTGTATAAACCAATGCAAGGTTTAAAGTTTCAATACAATACGCCCCGTATCGGCTGTATCGTATCGTATTGGTGGCTTCACGATACGCCCAAAGGTGTTTCGGGAATCATTCTTTTTTTTATAAAAAAATATGGTTAAAAATATGCCCAAAAACCAAAATTTGAAAAAAAACTAAAAAAAATATAAAAGCACATTGATTTAAGTACCGATATGCCCCTACCGATACACGGGGGCATATCAATATTTTGAACCTTGAACCAATGTAATCAAGAGGATGCCTAGGCAGCATGCTCAAGTAAATCACACAATGCCAATTAGTGGATGCGCATGACCCAGCAAATCCCCTAGTCTTGCAACAAATAACTTACCAACTAACTATCTACTAGAAGAACACAGAGGCCTTTCCAACTAACTATCTAGCATCTCCAACAGGGTAATTTCTAATTTTGTTCTTATCACTCTTGTTTGTGTTAATCCACTTTTTCCTCCAAAAAATTATCTATCACCCAGCTTCGTCCTGGCCTTGAAAACTATGCCACAAAGCTAAAGACTAAACAGTGTGCATATTCATTTATCAAAGCCATGATTGGAACACCATGACTTTTTAATTGACATACCAATTTCATCATCACATCAGTTCCAAGAGGAGTAACAAAATAGGTAACACACCTTAAAAACAAAATAGGTAACATGGAATTTATTTTTATGTATATGACATACCATAGTATCATAGAATTGCAGCATAGCATCAGTTTTAGGTCCATATCCAGTCCACCACTCCCATGACTCTGGATAGCTAAAATCAACACTGGGTAATAGCCTTTTTCTACTTTCTTTGTCTGAATCACCAACTACAGGGTTTCCAGAGTCCCTAGAAGGTCTCTCTACAGGCTAATCGATAGAACCAGATTGATAGGCAGATCAAGGATGGTGGTTGTTATGATGAAAGAATAAAAAATAAATCTATGGATCCGAAGTAGACATAGATGGTGGTTGTTATGATCAAGGATGGTGGTTGACTGGTAGATATAGATATCTATGTGAGAGGGCTTTTCTCCTGCAATGTAGATCCGAAGTGATATTTGCATTTGAAAATTTTTTCAGATTTTTTCAGTGGAAGACTTCTTCAGAAGTTGGAGGGTCAATAGTTGATTCCTCCCCTAGGAAGCAAAAAAATCCTTGAGGTTTGGTCACCCCAAGATGGAGGATGGATGAAATTAAATTTTGATGGAAGTTGTTTGGGCAATTGGAGATGGTGATTCAATTAAGGATGAGGTTGGGAACATATGTGGACTGTTTTCAGGGCCAATTGGACATGGTAATTCAATTAGGGCAGACTTAAGGGCTTCTGTTTTTGGGGTACAAAAAGCTAAGCAGAAGGGGATCAAGGCTGGTTGTGGAAGGTGACTCAAAGATAGTAGTAATTAGGTGGTGAAGAAAGGAGAGGGGGTGATTTGGCAATATAGAAATGATCCCAAGCGGTTCGAGATGTTGTCAAGACCAATGAACATTCAATTGTATTGTGCTCGATTGTAACAGGAGGGTGGGGTTCTTTTGAAGTAAAGGGTGTCCAGATTTAACAACCTCTTGTTGCAACTTTTTTTTTTCTATTTTAGTAATTAATAAAATTCTGTGTTACTGATCAAAAAAATATTTGCATTTTTCTTATTTTCACCACCATAAACCTCAATTTTGTCAAGGGACCAAACAACGATCGAGAGAGCAGCTAAATTCAACAATTCCTAAAGTAGGTCAGATAGTTACTAATCAGTTGAAACTCTATCATCAATCTCACACCATGCAGTGTTGTTCTTCCTAGTCAATTTTTTGGTTTTTTTATGTTAAAACCAGTAGTATAGATGATACCATTAGTCCTGGAAGGATGAGAAAGAATACAAAGAAAAAAACTGACCAAAATACCCTAGACTGAATTTTATAGTTCTTCTGATCTATAGAAAGTTACCATTTTTAGGTAACTTTCATTAGCATGGCCCCTATCTTTAATGAAAGTTACCATTTCCAATAAAATAATAGTTCTACTGAGTTAATGTAGAATTCAGAGAAGAAGCAGATTAGCATTTAACAAATATACTAGGAAGCAACCACCCTGTACTTGATATGGGGCCACTATTCACAAATATTTTGTTTAGGAATCGTTATACATGCAGTACATTTAGATCATGTTTTATTTGACTTAAGAAATTAAATCAGGCTTTATTTATATACAACCCACTTTTCTAGAAGATTAGGACACACAACAGGTATTAAAATCTTTTGGGTTTTTTTTTGGTTCAAATAGTTGAGAACTTGAGATAGGAAACTATGTCAAGAGTTTAAAAAATAGTTAAATTAGTTGGATGCCACACCAATGAATTTGTATTTTGACAAAATTCAATTAGAAAGGTTGGTCATTAATAATATGGGTCACACACCACCAGAAGTGAGTACTTCCAAGAGAGGAGATAACTACCCCTAGATTTTTTCAGAATGGAGGACCTGGAGGTAACTACATCTCCAATTCAATTGTTCTCAGAATAAATATACGGCACATCTCCGATGAACAAGCCCTCTAGTCTGATGGTGTATGTATGTATTATCAAATTAGATTGCTTGAACAGTTCAGAAATTGTTGAAATTAATTAATTAATTAAAAAATACACAACAAAAACAGGCTTTATTGAAATAAGAATGTGCCTAGGGCAAAAAAAAAGGAATCCCTAGGCACCAAAGCATTCCAACAGCCATGTACTGCCTATAACCATACAACAGGGTACATCTGAAACTACCTACTCAGCAATTAAGGGTACATCTAAAATAAGAAATGATTCAACCCATCATTGATTCATATGCTATCTTCAAACATATTTTCAATCTATTGGGTATCTGGAATGAACCATCTTATAATTCCCCAAGTCTTGTATGTAAGCCATGAAAAACAAGATTTTCAGGAAACAAAGCATCAGTAATTCAACATTGCAAATCCGGAACAAGGATGAGCTACGATTCAAAGAAATAATATGCCAGGATGCATCTAATAACATAATTAAACAGCGACTCACACATACATGTTTTCCAGACAGAATTGCTTTCACTTTAGGGGAGGATTGTGCCACCTGATATGCAACCAGTTTTAGTGCAGCATCTGAAGAAGACAATTTAGGCTTGGTAGGTTTGACCCCAAGCTTCTGCCTGCATTCTAAAGCACCACAGTAGCAATCTTGATCTGCACCAAATTGAACAAACCTGCTGGTTTTGTTAGACTAGTTGTCCAAAAACTTAGAAATGCAGAAAGATGAATTCAGAAGAGAAAGATCAAAAAGCAAAAATTTTAGACAATATGCATGCCAACAAACATGAATAGACATAAGTGTTTCAATGAATGTGAACATAGAAACAAAGTTTCATATAAGTGCACATACTGATAATCATATGTCAGATGTTCTCCCTTTTTTATGTCACGAGTTGCAAAAATGCCAATTCTAGTTTCACCATCAATTCTCCTGAAATAGATAAACATCATAAGATTAATAAGGAAAGTAGGAACCGCTTTGACAAATAAATTGAATACCAAAAATGGAGGATGACAAACCATTTCTGCATCTCTGTATTGGGCCGACAACTATGATTTATATATCTTGACTTATTTCCCTTGTATGTGGCATCAATTACCATATCCCGATTAATTTCGCATAAATAGAAATTGGTTTCTCCTCGGTGCTTCATTTTCCAAAGCCTTTCCTCACAAGTTTTATCATCAATAACTGAGTCAAATAAAGAAACAATGTTTGTAAATAAATACAACTGCAAAAGAAAGAACAAATATAACAAAGACTAAACGCAACAAACTTTAACGAGAACTCATAATGGTTAAAAAAACAGCACCTTCTCCAACATACTCTATTACAAACTCTCCCTGCTTTATATCTTCATCTGCCACTAATCCTGATCCACATTTCTCTGTCTACAGGCAATAGCTTATTTAGTTTACCATGACAGGTGTATAAAATCCATAAAGAACACAATATCTAGGAAAAATATAGAAATAATTGGTACAAAAACAAGAATCCAATTGACCCTAGGCGCAACCATAATGCAATGATCCAAAACCACCCTTAGATCAAGTTGAGCACAGATGTAATACCAAAACTACCAGCCAAGTTAGGGTTGCACTGGATTTCCTGTCCTCTCATTCACTCCAACCTTTTTAGTTTGTACTTGAGCTTAGGCCATGCCACTAATGTATTTTATTATTATGTTATGCTTGCTTTTATGAAATAAAACAGTGGAAATGTTTGGTTTTGATGGTGCCAATATGGCTTTCTGTAAAAGAACACTTGAGTTTGATTTATGTCAGCCCAAGTTTGACCTCTTCCTAATAAAGAAAATGCACATTATTGCATTGAATCCTTAATGACCTGCCCAGTTTGGAAGAGCAAGACCCTTAGTACACCCATACCATGGCTACAAGGCAAAAATGCATGTGCAATATAGCAAACCAAGCTATGCAGAAGACATCACCGTACAAAATATTAACCACTTTTTTTTTTTTTTATGAATGATGATAATTTTATTAAATCATGAGCAGGTTTGAGATTGAAAGTTCATACAACAACCCCCGGAGAGGTGCGAGTTGCAGCCTCCCCCAAAGCAATATTCCTTACCTTCAAAAATCAACTAGTTTCTTTGTATACTCCCTATAATATCGCAAAAGGGAGGAAATCATCAACATCTCACCCTCTACCATATCCCATGAAAGGCCAAAGGCCAAGCACCAATCAACGGAATAAATTCGTGTGGACATGAAATTTGTACAGTCAAACCTTTTAATAAAATATAGCCCTTAAGGAAAAGTCATTTTAGTAACATGCTCCTCATAAATTAATAACTCTTACACATGGAAATACATGTTCAAAATCACCATTTTCCCTACATGTCTAGGATTATGATCCACACTCAATATGAAAAACGCAACCTTACACAGGATATTAAGGACTCAAAATTTCAGTGTTACTGTCATTCCCAAAAAAGGAATATGCAGGACTTCAATGAGAATAAACCATTTAAGAAACCTTCAAGTTTTAGAAATTTTCTGTTCCACACACAATCAGACATCAATATCATCCACAAGTTGGTATGTGATCAAGAACTAATCAATATACACTTGATCAGGCTGCTGACATCATCATTATTGATTACTGACATCAGCAGACCATACAATCAGACCTATTTCCAGGTCAATGAAACCCTAAAATATGAATTTAGACAGTTCTTGGTGCAATTTTTTTACTGTTTAGAAGCGGTTGTTGTATATTTAAGGATATTTAGACAGTCCTGGTTCTGTATTGGTGTTGTTGGACAGAGGAGCTCAATCTAGGTTGCTTGACATTTCTCAATCTTCCAAACTTGCTTTCAAGTTGATTGGAGCAAGAAAGAAACTGTAACATTGATTTTCCTTTTCCATATTTACTGCCTAGCTCCATTTGAAGGGTTTGATGCCTGATTTGCATTGTATGAGAGCTATCTGGTATTGGAAGGTCAATTTTTTATTGCTTATTTGGATGGTCAATTTGACCATATTGTAATCTGATTTGGAATGTTCAGTGCTGTTTCTGGTGTTTATTATGTGCTTGCCCCTCTGCATATACTTCCAGGACTGATAACTAGCAGTTTTTATTTATTATGTGCTTGACCAATATGCCAAAAGCCTTGAAACTGTTGGACATTATCAAGCCAAGCATTTCAACATTTAGGACCGTAAAATTATTCTTTTTTTTTTTTGATAAATAGACTGTAAAATTATTCTTGATAGCAAGTGATCAACAGAAAAAGAGTTGTATATTATTTGGAAGCTAATGATAGCCAAATATCCAGATTACTATCGTGAAACTTGATGGTTATAACTTCTCATATGCACAATGTTATTTGTTGGAGGTAATTGGAACTTGGAAGATGGGGTATCTTACAAGAGAAGAAACCCAAATATGATGATCCCTCTCACCTTAAGTGAGACTTTGGCAGAAGGAGAATGTCATGGCTACTCAGCTCCATGCAGCCTCATATTACAAGGAATTATATGCTCCTATCCACAACCAAGGATATATTGGATAGGGTGACCAAAACATATTCATAGGCCAAAAATACTGCTAGCACATACCAATTGCATATAGCAAGTGAGCAATATAAGACAAGGGGAAAAATCTGTGGCTATGAACTTTTCCTTTCTTAAAGTTTCATGGAAAGACATAAACATAGTTTTGGACTTTCTAGCTGATCTCAACTATGATTTTGATTTCACAAGGCAGCATATTTTGAGTAATGGTGTCGTTAGCCTTTCCTCTACTTATTCTCTTATACAAGGGGAAGGAGAGTTAAAAGGAATACCATAGAAAATACTCATGTACAGATTGTCACTACTAAACTGAAGCAAAGTGGCAGTTCTAGAAAGGCTCAAGAAGCCAAAGCGCAACAGAGATAAATGTTGAAAACAACACCCATATTTTAAGCCAACAAGGTTTAAGGGAAACAAGAAGGGCAATGCTCCTGTGCCGACCAATTCCGAACTTTCTCCAACTACCATCTCCATACCAATACATTCTAGCAATATTGATGCTGCCCAAGCTGAATTGGAACAGATACATTCTTAGCTGCTGCCCAAGCTGAATTGGACCAGATTAGATGCCTTCTAAAACAACTTGAAGGCAATGGGAGTGTGAACATTTATAGGTCTAATGGTCCTACAGCCTTTTCCAAATCAGAGAACTTCATAGCTCATCATGCCTCTACATCCTCCTACTACCTTATTGATTCAAGTGCATCTAAGTATCTAACTACATTATAGGTATGCCATCTTGTTTTGGTTTATATAGGTTATCTACTGATAGAGATAAGATTATCTCATACTCTTGCTTCCAACATGAGTAATATCAAGCTAAGTGATAGCATCTCAGGTCTATTTTATGTGTTTCCCAACTTCACACCAATGTTTTAAAATGTGGAGTCATGAACCAAGGCATTCCACTACACGGATGCATGAGGCATAGTTCAGGTCTCGTTTGGTTCACGGAAATAGGGGTCTGGAATCAGAATTGGAATGGTCCATTCTGTTTCCAACTGTTTGGTTGGACGGAATCGAAATCCCATTCCCATTCCTGGTGGAATGGCAGGAATGGCATTGCCCCATTTGAGGGAATGGCCATTCCCTCCCCCTCCCTTGGGAATGAAATCCCATTCAGCTGATTCTAATTCTCATTCTGATTCCTATCTAAACCAAACAGACTATGGGAATAGACCATTCCAATTCCAATTCTGAAGGATTTTGATTGCAATTCTGATTCCAATTGTGAACCAAACAGACCCTCATAACACAAGCACAAGAGGCAGGGGTCAATTTGCGCCTAAGGCGCAAGGCGAGGTGTGCGCCTTTTTAAGCAAGGTGCAAAGAAAAGCTAAAAGTAAAAAAAATGTCAAAAATCAAAAAAAAAGTGCCAAAAAAAATTTAAACATAATATTAATAAAAATATAAACTTAAATTTTAAAATAAATGTTTTAAAAAACCTATTATCCAAAATTAAAATACATAAGCATAACATGTAAAGCATATTCAAATCAGAATTTAAAAATAAAATCAAACATATAAAACATTTTCAAGCATATAAAACCCACAATCTCTTTTTTTTCTCAATTACATTACTTAAAGTAGCTAATGTGACATATTACATTCCCGATTCTATGAGCTACCTTTGTGCCCCACCCCTCGAGGCAAGCCCAAACAAGTCCATGTTAGGATCTTAAATTCTTAATTTTCACATAAAAAATAATGATTTTATAGTTTAATAGCTTTTTAAGAAGACATTTTATTAGGATGAATGAATGGACAACATTACCAAATAGGGGGTTCTCGAAGTTTCAATGACCCTAACATGGACTTGTTTGGGCTTGCCTCGAGGGGTGTGGCAGGAAGGTCCGGGGGCTCTCTAGACTCAAAAAAAAGCAAAAAGTGTCAAATTTTCAAAAGGCGCACCAGGCATGTGCCTTTCGAAAGGGCTACGCTTAGGACTTGATTCAGTGGTTTCGAAGAAGCCTAGAGTTTCAAGTAAAACCCACATTGTGCATGTTACTAAGGCTATGTTTGGTTTGAAGGAAAAGGTAGGAAAACCTATACAAGATTTATAAAGGTTTTCCCACCTTTCCCTTTCTTTCCCTACTTTTTCCTTCAAACCAAACACAACTTAAGGTGTTTTCTCGTCTGAAAGATGGTTTGGTCGAGGCGTGGCTTACCAACAAATTCAAAAGGATTTACAAAAGAAAAGGGGTTAAGTTCAGAAATTCCAATTGTGCTAGCCCTGTGGGGGAGAATCGAGATCTACAAGGTGTTGAGGGGATAAAGAATCTATCATTGTCTCCTCCTATGAGGGAGTCCGAAAAAAGCAGTCTACTTGTGGAGGAGAGTGGTTGTCTTCTGAAGAGCAGGTGGGGGAGGTTGGGGTCAAGGTGATGCCGAAAGGGGAGGGGTGGAGCAAGGTAGTTTAAACTTAAAGGAAATTGTTGATAGGAGGAGGAGGTTGGCAAGTCTTTGAGTTTGTTCTCTTTGGGAGGGGAGGCATTTGCATTGAAGAACTTGATAGGAGAAGGAAGGAAGAAAGACTTATGAAATTTTGGCAAAGGGGGGAAATTTGGAACGAGGAAGGAGGGCAAGAAATTTTACTGATCAAAAAAAAAGGAGGGCAAGATAATTTATTTGATGGGGAAGATTGAATGTGCTAACATTCAACCAGCTAACATTCCTATAGATCGTAATCATAAGATTCAAGGGAAAGAAGATGACGTGATTATAGATACACTGATGTATCAATGATTGCTAGGCAGATTTCTGAATCTTTGGTTGACTTGACCAAATATCTTCTATGTTGTTTGTGTAGTGAGTCAATATTTACACAAGCCTAGATTCCCGGCCTAGGTTGA